GAAGGGCATACGACATTCTTTAAAAAAAAGTACATATAGCAAACGCAGGAGGTAAATTTAGTAAAGTAAAACCTGCCACCCACACCTCCAAATCGGATTTTCATGGCATTAAGAGCCGACTGAACATTTTTGCCCTAGGAAGTAAGAATTTGACAAACCAAATCAAATTATAATTCGCGCGCGACATTTGTTTTACTATATAAGTCGACCACAACCATCGATGACTTTTATGACTTTTTATGATTGAGATGTTGATCTGAAATAAAAATAATTACTACGTAACAGTTACCTATTTAAATCATTAAAATTTAATGCTAAATTTGCATTATTGCGATGAATATTATCACAATAATAAGCAGTGTATGTTATATTCATATAATCCAGATCATTGTTTTGTACAAAAAAGAAAAAACAGCTTAAAAACAGTATTTTCCACTACAGTACCAAAAACGCAACTTTGAAGTTCTATAAGATAGCAAGTAGATGCTTCCTTAAAAAAAATATATTTTGTAATAGGAAATGAAATATTTGCGATATGCGCTCAAGTGGTTTACAGCTCATACGAAATTCCTAAATTAATTTTTGCATCAATTTAAAGTTCCCGAATAATAGTTAAGAATACCAATGCACCCCTTTAACTGGCGCACTTCCTCCTCTTTGCTCTTCCCAATTTCTTCCCTCCTTTCTTTCTCCAAGACTTCGTCTGGTTTCTGGACAACCAGGCCTTACAGACCCTCTGATCTAACATAATTTAACAAATGCAAATATCCGACAGACCACCCTAGAAGAATTACTTGTAATAGACTGTACGCAGATGTCTGGCCTGTCAGCTGAAAGACAAATAAACAAAATACAGCGTGCCCTGAAAGTTGAGACTTTCATTTTCATAATCAACGACACTTGAAATAACAGCGCTAATGTATGGTGAAACAGTAGGGAAAAATAAATAAATGAAAAGTACTCACCGCTCATTTGCAGATAATTTTCAAGTAAGGCTCTGTTAATTATAGGTACTGTTCAAAGCTGTCGTTGTTGGTAAAATGTTTCTCGTATTGTAAACCGTCTAACCAATTCAGAAGAATTAAATGTCCACACGTGGGCATTTCGGAAGCTATTCACCCCGTTACGCATGTACGAGCCCCTTCCCACTTCAGTTGGCCCACTTCAAGATTTGTACCAAAATATGCCTTTATAAACTAAACATGACGAAACTATTTACTTCTAAAACAATTTATTTTCTCAAAAACATTCTAGATGCACTCTAGTCGTAAATATACATATTTCAAATCACTTAGACCTATAACTAATAGAACATCTGAACAAATAAACAATGTACCAATAAATGCGCGAATTTAACAAAGCAACAATTGAAAGATTACCATTGGGTAACATCACTTTTATTTTTTATTGCGGCTGAAATTCTTTGGAGCATAGTGTTAACCATGTTTTGTCAAAAAATTGGTGTAAAACAATCCCATATTTCTTGAAGCTTGTGTCTCAGTTCGGTGACTATACGAGCAGGATGTTGTCGTAGCATCTTTTTTATCTCGTGCCACAAAGTTTCAATAGGTGACAGATCTGGACTGCTAGAAACCCATTTCAAAAGTGGTACATTATTTTCTTCCATCCATTTTATAGCCTTTCTTGAGGTATGGCCCGCTGCACCATCTTGCTGAAACACAAAATCTTGGCCGGATATCAAACATTCTTCCATCACTGGTAAAAGCGATTCTTCTAACATTGCCATATATTTGTTTGTATACACATTTCCATCAATAAAATGAAGTTTTCCTACTCCTTTTGATGACATACTGCCCCAGACCATAATGGATGCTGGAAATTTCACTTTTCTCTTCAGACAGTCAACATGGAATGCTTCGTTTTTTTTGCGAATAACTCTACTGCGACTGTCACCAACACAAACTTCGAATCGGGCCTCATCACTCCATTGTATTGCACACCATTGTTGAGGTGTCCATTGTCTATGTTCTTTAGCCCATCTAAGCCGATTTTTCTTTTGCAGTGGAGTTAATAGTGGCTTTTCTTTGGCCTATAAACAAGTTGTGCAACTTTAGGGTTTTTACTTCACTTTTTTTTTATATGAAAACTTACCTTGCAAGTGCAAAAACCCCAATTTGTGGGCCTCTCTATGAGTTGTGGACCTCGAAATTCACGTTCCAACAGCGTCACTCCACAGAGCAGTTAATTGTAAATAATTGGCACGCCTGTTTTTCACTATTATTCTTCTTAATGCTCTTCTGTCGGCATTTGTGATATTACTTTTTTTCACATATCGTGGCTTAATATTAACTGAGCCAATTACGTTATATCTTCTAACAATATTTCTCACACTGTACCGCAATAAGTCATACAAAGTTGCAATTTCTGAGTTTGATTTCCCAGAATTCAGTAACCGAATTTTCCCACTAATAACCTTTCCTCTACCCATTTTGAAAACCTTAACTACCCAAAACTATTTTAAACGTATTCTGACAGCTGTGATTAATAAAAACAATTGTCATAGCTTTTATTTTTCACAGCCACCTGTGCGTTATAGACTTATTTTGCATTGAAATGAAAATAGGTTGATATGCTGTAATTGCAACATGTGTTATTTTTATGCTGCAAATTTGATTAGGGGGTGATAGAGTTGGTGTTTTCTACTATATATTATCAAAATATTCATTGTTAATATTTTAAACCTATAACACCCTGCTACATTTTTATTATTTGTGTTTGATAAGAAAAAACTAAGATTTCAATAGTTGGGCCAAATGAAGTTTGAAGGGGCTCGTAGGTTGATTCGTCCACGATTAATATGGACCGCAACAACCACTCACAAAAACGCAGTCTTGCAGGAAAATCTTTAGCTTCAAGGGCTTGTACAAAAGGGTACAATCCATGATCACTCAGCGTTCACCACACTTTAGGAGACTTGCACTTGTCTAGCCACTTTCCTAGTGCTCTCTTCTGCAAGATTCAATACTCCTTCCTGGATTTGCATATTTGTCTAGGTCTGCCACTGTACCCGCCCAGACAACCTACAAACGACCTGTATCACTAGCTCTTTGCACAAGGTAAACAATTCACGTGGTACTGAAAAAGCAATCTGCATACACTTGCGAAGCCATGATAGCATTATGAAGAATTAAAATCATATCAAGGAGTCCGATATTGCTGTACGAGTGTGCCGTTTTGTTTATTTTTTTTTCGAAGTGATTGGTAAATAAATGTTTTGTTTGCCTACGCTGGCGAAGCCGGGTTGAGTACTGACGTACATCGTGCCTTCTTACTTTTGATCTGATCGAGATACGGGAGCGGATTAGGTTTGTTTAGGTTTGATTGATTTTGTGAGTCCTAAAAAGGAAAGTCCCAACTTTGGGGTACTCTGTATATTGTCGTTATCATTTGTACTTTGAAAAAGGAAACGTTAGTAGTAACAAGTAGTTCAAACTTTGTGTGGTTTCATTTAGCGGCTAGACAATCATGGAGTCATAATAGCATAGAAACCCCAAGATAAGCTTCAGGTGTGATATTCTTATATACCGCGTATTTGCTGTGTGCACGATTACATCGGCAACTCACAAAAATCCAGAAAAAAGGCATATATCTAATAAGATGGAAACAGATCCTGGGGGTTAGCAGGATGCAACTCCTAGCTGGTCCAATATTGGCGAGAGTCAAGGTGCCCCGCCAGACTGAGATAGTAAAGGGTGGTCCATTTAAAATTTTTTTTTTAAAAATGCTATAAAAAAAAAACTACTAAATATTTTTCCAAATTTTTTTTTTTATTTGAAAGTACAATCCTTCCGATTAAGTATGGAATACAACTTTATTTAAATGACTGCCGCGGCTGGCTTTGCAGTAGCCCATACGGTCAGTCCAATTTTTGACCACATTTTCAATCGTATGTGGCTGTATTTCAGCAATGGCAGCGCGTATGTTCTCTTTTATTTCGCCAATTGTTGCTGATTTGTTGGCATAACATTGGTCTTTAATGGCACCCCATAAATAATAATCTAATGGGGTCAAATCACAGCTCCGAGGCGGCCAAACAACATCAGAATTTCGGCTGATAATGCGATCACCGAAAACACTTCGCAGAAGAGCAATCGTAGCGTTTGCTGTGTGACACGGAGCACCGTCTTGTTGAAACCAGATGTTACCGACATCAATATCTTGAATTTGTGGAAAGAAAAATTCATTTATCATGGTACGGTAACGCTCACCATTCACAGTAACTGCTGCTCCGGCTTCATTTTCAAAGAAAAATGGGCCAATGATGCCACCAGCCCAAAATCCGCACCAAACAGTCACTCGTTCTGGATGCATTGGCTTTTCTTCGATTGCGTGTGGGTTCTCTGAACCCCAAATGCGGCAGTTTTGCTTATTAACATAGCCGCCAAGATAAAAATGCGCTTCATCTGAAAAGATGATTTTTCGACCAAAATCAACATCTTCATCAAGTTGATTGCAGGCCCATGAAGCGAAGCGAAAACGCATTGGATGGTCAGTTGGCTTCAATTGCTGAACCAATTGAACTTTGTACGCCTTCATACCAAGGTCTTTATGCAAAATTCGACCTAATGATGTGCGTGAAATGTTCAATTGTTGAGAACGTTGGCGCGTTGATGTGCTTGGAGACTCTGCCACACTCTCAGCTACAGCATCGATATTCTCGGGTGTACGCACCGTTTTCGGTCTTTCACGTGTTGGTTTGTCAATAAGAAGACCAGTTTCACGAACTTTTTGCACAAAATACCTCACATACGGTGCTGACGGTGATCCATTTCTTCCCATTTTTGCACGTAATTTTCGGACACAATCTGCAACATTACCACCACTTTCGAAATATTGTTTTAATATTTCCCAGCGTTGTTCAAGCGAATACACAACCATTTTCGTTAATCGGAATGATATGACTGATGTTCTGTCAAATCAGATGCGAAATAAGTCTTGACATATCCCAAAAAACCAGTAACTCAAAAAAAAAACGATAGATGGACCACCCGGTATACCCGACAAGGATGCCTTCATCAACCAGCTGTTGGAGAACAATAAAAAGCAGCACGAAACGATAGCAGCGCAGACGAAGCTTACTGAAAAGATGTCACGGCAGATAGAAGAGTTGCAAGCCAAATTAATAAATTACTGAAGAAGAGCGAATCGCCAAAGAAACGTCAGTATGACAGCAACAGCGAAAGTTCCTCAATTAACGAAATGGACATAGCAAACGTGCAAGAAAATATCCTTAATGTATCGAAAAACACAGATGCAAGAGGAGTTCCAGGATTTTCAAACACTGCCAAAGACGACCAGCCAGCTCCTTACTTAAGCTTCATCTCTTTACCTCAAACAATAATCTTTACCACTCTAACTCTAGCCTCGGCTACTGACTCTAGTCAAAATACATATTCAGAACCAGACCCTCCAGGTTCGAGCACTACACCTTCGAGACTACGTTCATCAAAGCGGGTCACGCCGATAGTACTGGGCGTACCAGGAAGGTGGACGGTTTCTATCTCAATTATGTGTTTGCCTTTGTATTAAAATTGAAAAAGCTGTGGCTATCGATGCCGGAATTGGAATTACCCCGAAAACAGAGGATGATTATAGAAAACTTTTACGCTTTCTAAAAGAAAAAGAAATAGCACACCATACGTTTACCCTTCCTGGAGAAACATTCACGCGGTCCTTAAGGGGATATCAACAACTGCGAAGGAATGTGAAGTGAAGGAAGAGCTGGTATCAAGGGGATATAACGCTCTTCATATAATGCGCTTAAAAAAGATTGTCGGGAGACCCATGCCTCTTATAGTTGTGGTACTGCCGAAGGTAGCAAAATCTTATGACATTTTCAATGAGCATGAACTCATAGGCTTAGCTATCTCTGTGGAGGTGCAACGAACTTCGAGACAAATCGGTCAGTGTCATCGCTGTCAGAGATATTGTCACTCCTAGTCATATTGTACGGCACCTACCAGGTGCGTGAAGTGCGCCCAAGAACACCTCACGCATATGTGTTCACTTTCAGATCAGGATGCCAGAACCTGTGCAAACTGTGGCCAAAATCATCCAGCAAATAGCCTAAGCTGTAAATTTGTCCCCAGAAAAGATATTGAACTTTTACGAGAGCGACTTCTCTAAATTCGAACACAACTTATGCTGCTGTTGCCTCTTCCTGCAAGACAAATTCGGACACTTCGCAGTCCGCACCAATTAAGAATTAAGCAGCTGTCCTGAACAGATTATGGCTCTTCTTCTGCATGCTACAAAAGCTCTGAAGGTTGTCTTTCCGCAACCAGTAACAGTGCCGTAAATAAATAATAATAATAAATAAACTATACTCCGGCTCAAGTACCTAAACATAAAAGACCCCGCCTGCATCTCTAAATTATAAATCGTTTGGAAATTCTCTAATCAAATTGAGCACCTTTCGGAATACAAATTAAATAAATTTCCTTCTTATTAATTGATTCTATTCCCCTCTTTTCTCTCCTTTCTCCTTTTCGTTCTTTTCTTCGTCTTCCTCAGTATTCTACTTAATAAAAAATCTTCCCTGGCTGGGCTCAGGAAGATTTTGAAGAAAGAAAACATCATTCTGCCAGACAAGAGCCAAGGTACTGCGGACCGCCCAAGTAACAAATGACGAGACAACGATAACATCGCCGCCTAGTGACCAAAAATATTCGGGGCTCACACGGAAATTTCTTGACAATTAGTAGCTTTAATATTATCTTTTGGCCCGTTTTCCTTTGGAATTGAATAAAATTAAATGAAAGTATTTTAAACAGTTGTTGGGCATATTAATATACGTACATGAGCCAAAACATAATTTTAGCCTCCAGTCTCAAACTCTGCAAAAGGGAATAAGGTTAGTGTTGGCGCAGCATGTGAGAGACGTTAATGTACGAACAAAGCTAGTTATTACGAGCTGTGATCATAAGACAAGTGTCTATTACACCAACTTCCTACAAAAGATCACCAAATGTGAGTAACTTGAGTTGGCTACACCTGCGTGTTCTTCTCTCCATCACACTAGACACTATTTTTGGGCTGTGAGTTATAAATATGACGCTAAAAAGATATCACATCTGAAATTAGTGCGATATTTGCAGGTTTAATTCATATTTTAGCATATTTTTATAACCTGTGTACTTGCCGTCCAAAAGATGTAGAGAAACATTCTTTAGAGGCAGTCGTTATTGACAAATGGCATTCCAGTTGAACGCATTTGATCATTTCATGTCAAAATTTTCTATGTAGTGTTTGAAAATGTTTATAGCTTAATAAATTACCATTCATTTAAGACCCTAGTGCGATCCAAAACTGAGAATCTAGATCGACTATCTAGTAGAAGTAAACAGTTCGAGAGTTAGTTGGTTGACATTAGATGATTTGATGGCCTACCGTTGCCAAACCCATAAAAGTTAAAATGAAAAAATTCATCCTAATGTGAGCCTACACCCTCTACTGTCTGTATCTTGAAGGGTGGTAATGAAATACTAATAGGGCGACTTTTGTTTTTAGATATAGGTTGGATTTTTGCAGTTTTCCACTCTGTATGATACACTGAATGCCGTAAGCAGTAGTTCACAATATGCCTCAAATAAGGAAGTAAAAACGGGCAGCACAGTTTCATTTCAATGCCATCGAGGTCAACCGAGTTTGATGTAATGGTAGACATATAATCAAGAACAGTTGTTTCGTCAACTTCATGAAATCTAAAGCTATTCCTTCAATTTCTAGCTTTAGCCTCATAGTCAGCAATGATCTGGGAGTAATCATTTTTTATACTCCATCTACTACGAAGGCATAAGGCCTAAACACCCATTGGGTACCGTGGGGCTATAGGGGGATACAGGGGAAAGGGGGAACGCCACACGGACTCTGGCGAGGGAACACGTGTGCATACAACATGCACACATTCTGGCTCCGCCTACGAGATCCGCCGGGTGGTACCTCCACGTTCGACAGTCAGAGACCGTCTACCACCTACGGACAATCACAACATCCATAGCCAAGAGAAAAATTTCTCCTGGGACGGGACTCGAACCCGCACAGCGCACGGCGACTGATCAGGAGACCGAAGAGTCTACCTGTACTACTGCGGCCACCGCTGCTGCCTGTCATCATTATTTTTTAGAATAGATTCAAAATAATACTGATTTATATAATGATAATAATAATATAATAATAATAATAATAATAGGGCTCAAGTCACATAGTACAAAAGCTACGTGTCAGCATAGCTGTTTTTCAACTTAACCCAGGTAAAAAACGTCAAGATTAAACGATTGCATGTACACACCATAATCTACAAAAAAAAGCAATACAAAAAAATATATAAATGATGTTAATCTAATGATGTTTCATAAATTTGAATGAGAACCGTTTCACGAAAAAAGAAGTAAATAAGTATTACAAAGCATGATAAACCATGTCATAAACCTAATTCATAACCAGAGACTAAGTAACTACGAAATCAACTAACTGTTCAGCAAGTACTTTAATCTTGTTTTGAAATTGATAAGTGACAGGTCTTTAAGATCATCTTGCAAGGAGTTGTACAGCTTAGCGGCACTAAAGGAAAAGCTTCTGGCAAAGATTGCCGTGGTGTGACAAGGAATAAGTAGGGTATGCCTACATCGCTGTTGACTGCGATTCGACAGCGGGCGTAGCTTGTTCTACAAATATACAGAGGCCTTGTTAACAGTGACCTTGTGAACAAGTGTCGCTAAGTGTAGTTTTCTCAAGGCATCTGATTTCAACCATCTACACTCTTTAAACTTGCGACTGATATGGTCGAACTTTCGAACACCAAACGCGAATCTCAAGCAAGAGTTCTGTACTCGGTGGAGACGAGCTGAATCAACCACTTTGAGTGACGGACCATACACAGAGTCACAGTATGACAATCTAGATATTATCAAGGACTCGCAAAGCTTATATTTAATGTCCAACAGAAGTAAGTGACGACTAGGGAAATAAGCATATGATACTTGACACAAGCATGCGAAGTAAATCTTAATTCGTCATCAACACACAATCCTAGGTTTTTGGCTTCATTTGCAACACATATCTGTTCGCCTTGTATTCTAATATTAATACAGTCTTTAGCTAAATTTCTCTTTACATTGCTGCCAAAAAGCATAATAATCGATTTTTTGGGATTGAGTTTCAAATTGTGTACAGCAGAGATTTCATATAACGCGTCTACTCGTAAATCACTGTTTATTCTATTTTCAGCATCAAAACAGTCAGGTATTGGAAAACTTATATAGATCTGGGTATCATCCGCATAATGATGGATAGAACAAAAATACGATCTTACAAAAATCAGATATGTATATAGCAAAAAGAAGGGGTGCTAAAATGGAGCCCTGCGGGACTCCATAGTTTTTAGGAAGGGACTTTGAATACTGACCGCCAACTAGTACACTTTGCAAGCGGTCTGATAAATACGATTTAATGAAGTTTGCAGCGGGGGTTGAAAATCCATAATATCTTAGATTCTCGTATAATATATTATTGTCCATTGTATCAAATGCTTTACTGTAATCAAGCATAGTGAGACAAACTACTTTTCCTCCATCAATATGTTCATAGATGTCATTGGTAATCGATAAGAGTGTGCTATGCTGAGATCGAAAGCCAGATTGCGCAGAGGTAAGTATGCCATGCTCGGAAACGAATAATGAGATCTGTTCTTGCATTGCCGTTTCAAGAAGCTTAGAGATAGGTGGTGAAATGCTTATTGGTCTAATATCACTAAAGTCGGTTGGATTGTTACACTTGGGTGAAGGCAGCAGCACAGCATGTTTCCAAACAGACGGAAGGACGCCGTGTAAAATGCAAAAATTGATTATATGCGTGATGTAGCTCAACAAGTGGTTTTCTACAATGTTGAGCATTTGAAGAGAAATGTTAGATATCATCAACATCACCTAAAGAATCTGGAACGAGCAAGTTTCATGTGATGATGACAATAGAAATAAAAGGGTAAGTCAGTCGTGTGGAGAAAAAAGAAAGCGAAAATTAAATTAGAGATAGAAGAGACAGTAGCCAATTACAAAGGAGACACTAAAAAGACCTTTTGACTCACGCTCAACACAATACACAACCAGGAGTTTTCCTGATCCTTAAAGCTGCCAC